ATTCAAAAGACTATTGATGAGACGAGACTAAAACTTGAAACTCTACGAGAGAAAATACTGAAAATGAAAAAAGAACAGCAGATGCTGGATATCGAAAGAGGGACGAGTGAATTTCTGAGCGATTTTAGCGAAAAAGCTTGGAATAACATATTCCGCTTGGAAATGAAAGAAATTGCGCCAAATTATGTTTCAATATATATCGATAATGTCCAAGAGAATTCTAAAATACGTTGAATGATTTTGATGGGGCGCCAACTGTACTATCGAAGGGTGCCAACAAATATAGAAGACGAGAAAAAAATAAATGTACCGGTTGTGGTAAAGACGAACATTTAAAATTTAATTGTAATGCAAAATGCGATAATTGTGGTCCAAAAAGCACCTTCTTACGAAATTTTGCTGGATAAAGAATAAAAGAGAGAGAAAAAGAGTTCAATGCTTCCGATGTGGCAAAACTGGCCACATACAAATATTGCACAAATGAAAATATGAATAATAGAACCAATGGGTATTATTCAATAACTGATAATCGAATAGCAAAAAATAAAACTGTTGAAAATGTAGAACACCGAACATCGGAAGTTCAAAATAATACCATGATCGACAGATTAAAGACAATAGCGTCGGAATCAGACTATACTCGAGAAAAGGAGGATACTCCATTAGTGGTACATCAGCGCCTACCACAACGTACGTGGGCTAGAAATTACCAATTAACGCAGGAGCAGCCACGACAGAGTTCGAACAACAGTAGTAAGGATCGTTCTGATACGAGAGTATTTGGATAAAATAATGGAAATATACGAAGAGGTCATTTCAATAGAACATTCTATGGGGGAAATCAACATAGCCAAAATAACCAGATTATGAACCCCGAAACTACTACCATCTCTACCAATATCAATTCTAATCAATGACTTCCTATGAGGACTATGCATGACTGGGCTCAAACGGAACCAATACGGGTTTCGAATAGTGTTTTCACTATAAGAAACGTAGTCCTAGATAGGGATGAACTAAATATCTTGGAATATGGTTTGAACTATATTCCTTCAAAAATATTGAGTATAGAGGATCAACTGAAAGCTGACCTTGAATTGACAGCGAATAGATATCCCGAATTACAAATGAATGTCGGTTTAGTTCGGGATTCTATAGTTTACAATTCAGATCCGTTTAGCCCGAACATGCATAGATCTCAGTATAAGTCATTGAATAATCTAAAACGACGAAACGATATTGTAATAAAACAAGCGGACAAAGGTCAAGGCACTGTTGTAATGTCAAGAGAAGTGTATGAAGCTAAAACATATGCATTATTAGAAGATAAAAAGAGCTATGAGGACCTTTCTGAGAATCCAATGTGGACAACATACGAAACTGTCCGGGATGAAATTAAAGATTTGATAAAAACAGGGAATATCCCAAAAGAATATGTTTCAAGAATCCGATTGAGGGGCACACCGAAACTATCAAGGTTTTACATTTTACCTAAGGTACATAAAAAGCTATGTCCAGGAAGACCAATTGTTTCAGGGATCGGTCACTCGACGGAAAAACCGTCGAAATTCCTGGATTTAGTATTGAAACCACTTGTTCAAAAATCATCGAAAATCATCAGAGAAAAGTTCCATATCTCATTTTATCTTTTTCTTGATAGTACAACACGCTTGATCAATGAGATTATTGAATTAAATAAGGAGATAAAGGGAAAATCATATGACTTAAAACAAATATATATTGCCACAACGGACGAATATCCCAATTATGAAGGGTGCAGCAAAAGTAGCTAAATTTGCTAAAGAAAATAGTTCTTATCTACAAATAAAATTAGCACAATTAGTGCTTTTTACATTATTAAAAATGGTATAAAAAAATAATGTATTTAGCTTTGCCGGAAACTCTATAAACAGAAATTCGGAACAGCAATGGGAACTCCTTGTGCTCCTCCGTATGCAAATATATTTGTTTTAATTCACGAGTTGAAACACTTATTAAAAATGGACTTGAAACCGGTAAGATGGTTTAGATATCTAGACGATGTCCTTTTTATATGGTTAGGGGGAAAACTAAAGTTCTTCTAGTAATAGACGATATCTATTGATTTCAAATCTTAATGATACATTATTTTCTATAGTAGCTCTCGTAAATTCTCATTAAACCAAGGGCGATCATTAGACTTAACCACAATAATTTTATATGGTACCACAAAGTCAGCTATCCATAACATCATTTTTTCAACTAGCGCAACACTATTATCTAATCCTCCCAATTTGCTCTCCTATAATCATAGATCTTTCTACTTCAATAGACGTTTAAGCGACCGACATTGGACCGATCCCGACGTTTGAGCGAACGACATTATCGCGAACAGGACCCCGACTCTTCCACGAATTTTTCGCAGTACACATTTGGGTATTTTTCGCAGTGTTTCGTGGGAGGTGGGGGTGCAGCAGTATGAGAGTGAGTTCAAAAATTAGTTTCACACAAAACATGTAATCTTCATGCGAAACTTTATATCTGTAACTGTATCACATAGTGCCCATTCACCACATAACTTCACTTAGATATCATATCGGTCGCTCAGATGTCGAGATCGCTCAAATGTCGGTCGGTCAAATGTCGAGCTTGCCCAAGTTTCGGTGTCGCCCAGATATCGATCTCGCTCAAATGTCGGCGTTGCTCAAACGTCGGTCAATCAAGTATTGGTCGCTCAAATGTCGAGGCCGCTGGACCTCGACTCTTCCACGAATTTTTCGTACTAAACCAGTAGATGATTTCGGGCGAGTGGGTTTTTCAACAATTTGAAAAGCTGTACGTCGTTAGCAAACCCATAGAGGTTTTTACCTTCGAGAGTAGAAGCCTTCGTGGGATACCATTCGTAACAATGTGCATTAAAATCTCCAGGAAGACCAAATCAGTATTTTTATAACAATTATTGCTTCTAATTTCAGTTAAAACAGTGTCTAGGTGTACAATAAAGTCTCCTATATCAATCCAATTAGGTCGATAACAAGCTGATAACAAAATAGTTTTTGATTTAGAGAATTGAATAGAACAGAAGAGTGTTTCAAAATCTACATTATCAAACTCATTTAAGTGTTTACACGATAGATTATTCCTTACATAAATTAAGATGCCACCACCTTTTTTCCCTACTCTGTCTCATCGATGTAGCACCTGAAAACCGTTTAACAATAGTTCTGAGTCAGGACACATAATGCGACTTTACCTAGTAGTCACTTTATAGCCTCTTTACTCTAATCGCATTACAGACACGTAAGTCGGATCCCATTTAGTCGTATTTTAGCGACTCTTTTGAAGTCACTTTGATGTATCTTCTGGAGAAGATATATTAAAAGAATTTTCGTCCCTGCCAAGAATTGAACTCGGTCTATTTGCTTACGGGACGAATGTGTTCACCACTGAACCACACAGGCACATTAGTTGCTAGTCTAATTAACATGCTATGTTGACATTTCATGTGAGACTTTGATTAAAAACTTAAAAGACACACAAACTTAAAAAGAGACACATGGAAGGCGGAATGATGTGACTACTAAGCGTCTTTCTCGTTCACACGTCTTCTATGCAATTCCAATGTGACTTCTATATGCCTACCAGTAGACACATTGAAGACATATAGAAGACACCTACTATTTTGAGCAATCTAGTCACATACAAGATAGTTTTTCTTGGCAGATACATCACTGAAGTCGCATTAGAGTGCACACTATGGGGTATCCACTAAATTTTCCACTCCCATATATACCTATATATCTGTATCTTTACATGTATATAGAGATAATTATAGTTATAGTTAGTTTACGCTCGTTTCATACAATCTATAGTTTATCTCGGTAAGAAGTGTGATATTCATACATATACTTGTAGCATTTTGTATAAAGAATAGCCAAAAAGACAGAAATGTTATGCTCATACACAAGTGACCAACATAAAACCAGTTACCTACTGTTACTCGATATTTCCTTCCCACTCATTTGATCGGTTATAGCACTTGCTGGGAAATTATCATTATCATCTCCAATCTCTTTCAGATGAACAATATGTAAACCACCATGATGATCTAGAGGATCACTTACAACTTTCAATGTCGTACCGGGCATGAGCAAAATCTCATTTTCTTCAGGATAACACGTATATGATGAAACCTTCTTCCCATTGATACATTCAATATTAAACAGAGTACTTTGAGTGCTATTACCAAGAAATGCTTTTAGTATATTCACTGATTCTGAACACGAACTAACACTCCACCACGTAACTGTCTGATGCTTTTGAAATAAAGTACTAACGTTTATCTCAACCCCTCGCCATGCAACTGTCTTGGTCGACGGTAGTTTGTTAACAGCTGTATCAAGCAGTTTCAAATACGGGAACCACGGTCTCAATGCCGATCGATTTTCGTCTCGTAGAGTTTGATTTAGAATGTGATAAAAACTTTGTTCATCACTCATTTCCATCGAATAGAGGTACAGAGCTGCTGATTCATCTTGCGTTAGGCCATGTTCATTCGGATACGTACAATGTTTTTTGGCCAGTGTAGCAAAACGAAGTAAATCCGGTACTCGATCTCGTATCGGCTCAACAGCTGTTTCTAGTGGAACCAATTTTGAACTGAGATAACCATAACAAGCAGGCAGTCTTTTATTACTTATTTCAGTGTCAGTGAATCGCTGATAACTACTCATAGCTGAACCTAGAAAACATTGCACCGTAGTCTCAACAATATTCACTTGACTGTAAGTTAACGGTCATACAAAATAAAATATGTACTAGGCCGATTTAGATTAGACCAGTTTGAATTCCAAGTCTATCTCTTTGCTCTGTAATGCGAAAGAACTTTTAATTAGCTTTTTCTCATTATAATAACACCTTTAGGCTAATTAGCCGGATTACAAGTCTGTTTCCACTTGCTGCGTATCAGTCTTTTAAGCAGAAGTCGTTTTCATATTTTAATTTCATATATACTGCTTGAAAAGTTTCAGTGAGATAACGTGACTTAAGGGATGCTTCCTCTCTACCCAAAAATAGTTTTAAATATCTTCGTAAAGCTTCTACTAACTCAATATAAACATCATAAAAAGTCATATGTATTGAAAAATAAAATGTTTTATGTGATCGTTTATCTTTCTTAGTATGCACGATCTAATTCCAGCACTCCTCTTGTATAACAGGAACAAGAAATCACTTATTATTTGGGGCTAGAAGCGGCTGCTCATACGGGAAGAGTCCGTCTTTAAGTGTAAAAGTGCTCGTGGGGTGCCTCTCAATTTATATAGTTTTGAAGACAGTTACAGTTCACTCAAGAGATAAAGACATCGATCTTGAAGATCATAGCTTCTGACTGCCGATATGACGTAGAATAGGGTTATCGTCAGGGGACCGAATGAATCAAAGATGAATGTTACCTGCTGATTTAGTTACCGTTTAATTTTGTTTATAAAATCCGTCACACTTTATTTTGTATCGTTTTCGACTTTTCTTCTTCTTTATTCATTCAACAACTTCGCACAATGGAGTGAAACCAAAATATGAGACTAGATAAGACATTTCTTTTGTCGTTCTCACTTTATTACTTTAAATGACAAAACCAAAGAACCCCATTCTAATATTTTTTTTCTTTGAAAAGTTTAATAATAAACGTTGATAAGCAGAATGGATGTAAAAATTAAGATAAAAATGCAACTTTTGTTTTGATTCTTCATCCATTTTACCATGAATGTTTAAACGATTCGTGTTTAAAGGTAGCAGTACTCTACGAAACTTATTGCTGAAGTTTATTACTTCATCTCAATGACAGTCACTCAAAAAATTGTTCTCACTTTTTAAATGCGTCTGTTTGCTGGATAAAGATTCCGTCTAGATATACTTCCCTAAGAGTCGCTGAGCATCAGTAACATGAACAGAGGCGAAAAGGTGAGAACACTTCTGGCATTTTCAAAGATGATTAAAAGCTGTAGACATGAAATACACTGCGTTCACTTTTCTTTCCTTTGATCATATTTGTCGTTTCTCTCATACTTTTTCCTTATGTGATCGGATATATATGTGCACAGCGCTATATTTCTCTTTATAGAAACGAACAAATTTTCTATTTTAATCCAGATATTCATTTATTCGATGTCCAAAAGAAGCAGTGCTCATCCGATATTCTGCCAACTTTGCGAATTAAAATTAAATTAACTAGAGAGGGTCCATTTTCACTTGTTATATTAGTTTGAAATGCACAAGTTCTACTATATACTGATGTATTTTCGA